TTGGTATATGTCAAAATAAAGGGGAGGATTTCATAATGAGAGGCATATATATGGAATAATACATTATAAAACAGGAATTATTCAGAGGACACTAATGTGCAAAAAGTCATTTTTTACAAAAACAGTGCAAGTGATGGTGAGTGGTTTATATTATATTGTGAATGGGGTTAAAGAGTGTGAAATAAAAACTAAACTGAACAGTGCTGGTTTGATACACTTACAGCGTGGCCTGGGCATTTTGCAGAACAGTTTGTGTTTCTGTAAGCTGTGACCACATCCACACACTGATTCTGGCTGCACACCTTGAAAAACAGAAACAAGACACTCGCTGTTAGTTATCTGGCTCCTCAGACGTTGGTTACTGTGATACACACTGTGGACTTAGCACTGAAACCTTTGAACAAGTGGATTTACGTTAATTTCTTGATTGACTGTGATGCAGCGGTCAGAAAAACCTGCTAACTAAACAATAGGAAGTATCTAGTTGGTCCGTCCTGAATGTCCCTGCTGACCACACTGACGATGACCTGATTCTGATTGTAATTCTATTATATTTTACTGAACCTCCCTTCTTATGCCCTCTGCCAAATTATTCTTATTAATTTGATACATTTATAAAACACACACACACACACACACAGCAGAGCCTGGTACCTTTCCATCCCCACATTTTGTCCCAGTGTCGACCTGGCCGTAGTCTTTAGTGTAGTCGTCATAGAAAGTTGCCTTGCAATCCCCGATCCTTACCATGCGGCCATAGTTTGGGTTTTCGTTACCATCGTGACAGAAGAGCTTCCCACACAACTTGTCTCTGCACAGAAAAGAGAGTCAACATATGTTCAGATTCACTTCAAAGCCAATGATCCAATTTAAAGACATCTTGAATTGTGATGCAAATGCTTTATTTTGAAAGTTCTGTGCATGAAACAAGAAAACAGAGAAACTGTCAGACTGTGTGTTTGGCTGAGACTTACTCTTCCTGACAGGGGATGTACTGATCCTTTGAGAGACGTTTGCAGAAGCCGTAGTAGATTCCTCGGGTGTTGTGGTTGTAGCAGCTCTCTCTAGCCTCTCTAGCACCTGATGTATGTAATGTAAGGAAGCATGTTAGATAGTAGCATTAATAATCTATTTAAATGTGACAGCAGTGCAGCATTCACATGGGGAAAGAACACTCACCTGATCCGTAAAACTTGACACACTGGTTTGGCCTCTGCGGACAGTGGCCGTTGAAGCAGTATCCCAGGTCTCCATCACACGGGATGCCGTTCACAGCGAACACATCCTCTGGGCACTCGTTGCTCCTGCCATCACAGTACTCTGCCAGATCACAATCATCCTGCTTCCTGCGGCACTCCCTGGAGCGAGGCAGGATCTGTGGATCACAAAAAATATACCTGAAAAGTTGTTTTGAGCAAAGTTTTAAAAATGGTTTGATTTTCATTCGCTATTTAAGAGAAAGAAACAGAACCAGAAAAAAACAGACCCATTGTCTGACAATATAAAAAAAAGACATGTTGACATTGTCTTTTTAGTTGCTATGGTGACCTTGTTACAGACACTAGCCTTTTTTCCTGTAGACATCCAGCGCATACAGAGTAAAATTAGTTAATGTACAAGGACTAATAAAATTCAACTAAACACAATAAAAGTCTCCAATTACAGAAATTACAATAATACTATATAAAATAATATGAAAAAAACAAAATAGAAACTAATAATAATTTGAGAAGGTTATTTATTTATTCTCAGGTCAAATACTTCTTTTAAATCCCTCCTTAAAACCCCATTTTATAGACTTGCTTTACTGCGAGGTCGTCTTTTTTTAATTTACTAATTGTCCCTCTACTATCTTTATGTGAAGTTTGTTTGTGACATAGTTTTCAACCACCTCAGTGTGGATGTCACATCGCTTTATTTATTTGTCTTGTATTTGCCTTCTGCTCTGCTGTCAAAGCACTTTGTAAACTCTGTTTTAAACATGCTATATAAATAAAGTTTATTATTATAATATTTATAATATCTCATATTCCCACAAGAGGGCTGTGACAGACCAAAGGACATACTGTCAGAAGAAGAAAAAAGCCATTGCCACCAGTACAACAGCACATCTTGCTTCTTACTCACCTTACAGTTCTCGCAGCATTCACCGTCAGAACACTGTGAGCCGTCCTTCAGAGCACAGGTGGTAGCATTGCAACATGGGTTGGTACACTCCTATAAAGACAACACAGAGGTGATTGTCTTGTTAAAACAACCCTCGTGCCTCATGGTGGCTTCATTTAGTCATCTGTGTTTGTAAGGTTGGGCTCTCTGGCACTGACAACACATCTACAGTAGGTGAGACTGGGTAGACACGAAAGTGACAGAGAAATATTTCTTATTTTAAATACCTAGGATATATGATCCTACATTACTGTTTGCTCAATAAAGTTCCCTTATTACTGTTTGTGTTTGTGCACCATAATATATGTGGGTCATTATAAAAAAGATATACGTTGGGGGTTGCGGTGCAGTTCGGTATAATTAAAATGTTTTTAAAAGCTGTGGCCAGCGGCAACCAAACATCTCCTGAATACCAGCGGAGGCCATAGACATGTCTGAACACAGGACACAGCTCAGCAAAGAATTTACTTCACAATGAAAATTAGCACTTGTTTTACTAAACTGTTGTCAGTTTAATTCTACCTTATTGTCAATAAGTGTTTGGTGCCAAATACTATTCATAGCAGAATAATTAAATTGCACATCGCTGCTTAAGATGTAAGCATGATGATATATACAGTATATACTGTTTACACACACACACACACACACACACACACACACACACACACACACACACACACACTGTCTCTCCTTCAATGTGTTAGTGCATGTCAGGCAGCTTTATTCCCAGAAATTAGTCAAGATTAGACAACACGATGTTGTGTCAGACATTGAGGTCGATACTCCGCTGTCAGTGCTTGTTCTTTACCTCCACTGTTCCACAGTCGCACTGCTCTCCTTTCTCCCTGAAGCCGTTCCCACAGACGGCAGGAGCCACCACAGTCATGTAGTCCGGTTTGTCTAGCAGACAGCTGGGGCTGCGGCTTATCAGGTACCTTTCATAGTTGTTGCCACTGCAGCTGCTGAAAGTGCGAGGAACGTTCCAGCTGAGGAGGAACGGCAGATAAACTCTGTTTAATACAGTCTCTGCTTCATGTATCTTTTCATCTGATCATCAACCCTCTTCATCCAATCCAGAAAATGTTGTTATTGGATGCAACCTTTTCTAGAGGGTTTTTTTCACCAAACATTTTGACTATAAGAGATGAAAAGTTCAGTTGATGGGACAGGAGTCAGGATGCATAACACAAGGGCCCTGATATCCAGCAGAACTATTAGTAGTAGTATTTATTTTCACACCTGGACTTTTCCTACTGAGAGATGTAAGACGTGATGCTCTGCTTAATCACTGCACTCACAGTGGACAGTAAAAAAATCAAAATTGCTGCAGCACAACATTTTTTGGTTTCCTCTTTACCCATAATGCCACCACACTGCTGACAGTTGCGGATGGAGATGTGGCCTCGAGCCGTGGGCCTCAAGCAGAGACGATGTCATTACATGCTTGTGAAACCTAAAGGTCTCTGTCTGTGTCTGATCTGCCTTAATCTGACACCTTCAAATGATTATTCTTACCTGAGGGCTGCAGCCATGATGCAGCTGTCTCCAGCACAGGAGCAGGCACTGGAGTCGTCATGGTCCATGCCCAGGTTGTGGCCCATCTCATGAGCCAGTGTAGCTCCCACTGCAATGGCCCGGTCATTGTGATCCTGACAGGCAACAGAACACCAGTTGTAAGAGAGGATCTCTTAAAATGTAGTTGATTTTATCAGTAATTTACATCTGTTTAAATCAAGACTACACAAAGGTCAGACAGCTATCACATGATAAATGATCTGTTTCCTCAGCCAACTTTGTTGAACTGACTTCATGACCACATGATGTTGAGGCTTGTTGGGTTTAGAGTTCCTCTGTTCCCACAGCAGTCTAGACTTGTGCTCGACCACAGTGGAAGAGTTTCATGTGAGCGTGTGAAAAAAGCTGACAATTAATGAGTCCTTCAACCAACCAGTAAATGGACAGGTGACCATATAACCTCCTTGTTGGAGGTAAGATGCAGTTATTCCATATTCATACCAATGCTAATAATAGGAAACCTAGTTGGAAAAATGATTGGCTGTGTCATTCCAAAGAAGTACAAGACTGGAGCCATGCTTGCGGCTCTGTGAGGTAGGACCTGCTAACATACAGTATTGGAGTGTGTATCTGTGTGAATATTTGAGAGGAACTAACAATCAATATCATATAGATTCATATAGAAGAAAATAACAATCACAGGCAACAGAAGTTTTCTTAAACTGTGCTAACCAGAGATGACCCTGATATTCTCAGAGAGGCCACACCCATATTACCTTGTTTCTATCTACATTACCAAAAGTAATATAACTAGCCCTATAACTAATAACTGTGATCAGGGAGTAAGCAAGTCATGTGTAATTGTTATTTTCTCAGTAACGAGGACAACACTGACCAAAGTTTTGGATAAAGTGGTTTTTATTTTGTACTTGATGATGGTGCTAGTTACCATCATGCTGAGAAACATGAGCTTCTTCACTAAGTGTATGACATAGATAATACCATCGAAATAACAGAATATAACTTCCAGTCTCACCTGAACAACCCCAACAGAGTGACCAGAGCAAAGAGTCCCGATGAAAGCCAGTCCCACTGTTGATCCTTCAAAGTCAATGCCACTGAAACACAAGAGGAGAAACACTATTAATGGTGACATATCAATATCAACACAGTTCTCCCATCCATCTAGTTCTTCATTAACACTCTCAATGTAGATTTGAACAATCTTCTCTATTCACAGGAAATCTAGCCGAAGCAGTTTTATTTGGTTTCTCATATAATTAATTTTATCTTGATTTCAACGACTTTTCCAGGTTTTTTGTAACAGGACGGTGTCTCAAGTTAACATGAACTAAACTGGCGCTATAAAGAGTCACGTTAGTTCAGCATATTGAGACATCTGAACTTGAAAATAACGGGCAAGATTTGTGTCATCGTATCTAGTGTGAAAGTCTGATATGCACGTTGAAGGAAATTACACAAGCATCATGTGGAAACTTCAGTACACTGAGATCTGATCTGGATTAACCACAAAACAAATCGTGTCAGCTGCAGTTGGTTTCAGGGGGAAAACAAGAACCTGTTTCACAAAGTTTAATGTTGAGAAAGAGATCACTGCATCTATTTCAAAGTATATATTTTTTAACTTAGTTAGATGTGAAAGGGGGGACAGAGCCACCCCAGAGATCGCTGCATTTTATTCCCTTTGCTGACTCAGCTAATTTTGAGTTGTGACTCTATATCAGTAGGAGAACAACAGTTTAAAACAACATCTTTCTTCATACCTGATGAGATGTGCGTTGTCATGCTTCTTCCTCTTGACCAGCTCAGAGTTCCTCCACCTCATGAAAGCGTCCAGGTTGGCCCCGGCTGGGTGGGTCACGCTCATCAAGTCACTGTTGGACCAGACCTCGAGTCCCACCAGAGCAATGAAGGTCCTCATGGGCTTATAGGCCTGCAAACACCAGCAGGAGATCACCACAGAGACAACAGGAGAAAGGGAACAGCTCCACTGTTCATTCCATGCTGAAGCTTATAGGGTTATTATCACAGCTGAATATGGCTTATATTTTCAAGGTCCCTAAGGCCTCTGAACACACCAAGGGAAATAAAATTGATACTATCTCGAGACGAGATAAGAAAAAAGCAGTCAAACTCAAATTGTTGAAGAGCTTTCATTGGACATGAGTCATCTCTGCCTTCAATTTTGACCACAAACAGCAATTCAAGCACCAACTCACCATGTTGACGAAGTTGACAATTTCAAATATCCTCTTTCTCAGCGCTGTCATATCTCTCTTCATCTTCACATACTGAAACGTCATGTCATTATGTTAGAGCAAGGTCACGTCTCCTGTTTGTCAGCAGTTGATTCATTTTGAATTACCGGCATGATAAACGATCATCAATGACTCATTGACTCAAAAAGTTCAACAAACTAGCCAGAAAACTATAAATACAATTACGCTTATTGTAAATTTCCATTGACTTAATGAATGGTAAATGGTTGTACACTTTGGCAGATGGGAAGACTGGGGATTGAACTTCCAACCTTCTGGTTGGAGGATGACCGCTCTACCCCTCAGCCACAGCCACCCCTAAATGAATATGTGTGTACTTTGTATCTTACCGCACGGTTATCAGCAACAAGGAAGAGCTCAAGGTATTTCTGCTGCTGGACAATCGATATACCCTGGAGGGGAAAGGAATATATTTTAGTTAATATTAGTTAATGTTGGACTGCAGTGTTGTGAAAGTAATGTTTTTTTACTGCTGCTCTGGAGCGGCTGCGGCTTGTTGGGGGTTCAAAGTCGTCATTCCAGCTGGTGTTAGTGACACCACACACTGCAGGAGGGTAGTTCGCCTCCGTGAACGTCGTCACCTCGTGATCACCCTCATCGTCTCCTGACAGGGGCTCGATCAGGTACTTCTGGGCAGATGTTCTGAAGTAACCCCTAAAAAAAGATCACACCAGTTCTTTTAGTTCTATGGTCAACTGCATCGAGGTAAAAACAATCCAATGGTTAAGTCACACCTCATTCAGTGGAACAAAAAGGTGATATTTTTTCTTTCCTTTTCGTTCCTTTCTTTTAAAGCTATGTGATAATCGTACTGCAGATATGAAACATTAAATATAAAGTTTTATTTTTATGTTTATTCGTGTTCGTAGATGGTCAGTGACGTGAGCTGGCATATCGAACATTGATGTACCTGTTTTTCGACCTGTTTTGCAACATGTAATGTTATGACAAGCTGCCACCTTTGTTTTAGTGGCACAGCTCTTTCTCACGGAAAGAATACCTCATAAAGAAGAGAAATAAAAAAACAAAGAAAGTACCCTACTTTTCTGGCTGATCCTTTACAAAATGCCTCTTTGTGGTATGCTGAGCAATAGGCTTGAATATTACACAAGGCTAACTAGCTAACTTCAAATGTCAGCTCCATTTTAAAGTGTCTTTAACTAATATTTTGTATACAATTTTGCATTTTGGCTTTTAGCATCTTTCAGCTTACTGTTTTGTTTTTGTGCCGCACAGCTGTTGTTCCTATCAACCTCCTGACATTCTTTCAGCAACAAGCTGCGTTTAAAGCAGACAGATCTATTCCTCAGGAGTCGGTGGAGAGCCAAACAGAGCTAAAAGTACTTTTATCTGCCGGGTGGATGAAATCACTTGTCAGCACTGCCTTGATAAGTAGTTAACTTACTGTTTGCTGTCAAGTTTAAACCCAAAAGCTGATAATATCATTAATATCGTTGTGTGTTAGAACATGTTCCTGCCATTAAAAGCACCAAAAAATCAATTAACACAGGTTTCAGTTCAAATTAAAGTAAACAATGTGGAACATCATTAACTTATTCTTTAGTACAAGCTGAAACTTTGGCTTCATTCTTTGAGGTTTAATCCAACCAATAATGTAATAATGTGGTAAAATATCTCCATTCATTTTGTTTGTAATGTGAATAAGGTGTTATTATGGGATGCTTTTATGTCAGTGGCATGGTTTTGAGTTTATGGTGACACTTAAAACTAAAGCTGAATGTTGGGCTCACCTGAGTCCATCACAAGTGCTCAGGCTAACAGATGACTTGCTGTCATTCACAATCCTCCCATGATAGTAGCAGTGATCCTGGGAAACGAGAACGATCACATGACAATATTCCAATAAACCTTTAAAGCATTTGCAAGACATCACAATTGTCTGTACACAGTAGGTCACATTATGAGTGTTGAAGTGAAACTTGCCTACGAATGCAAATACTTACAATGTCATCGGGGCTTGTGGTGACTTGAGTCCCATCCTCTTGATAATAAGTCTCAGTGTAATCATTGGTGAGTAATTCGCTTAGGATGAACAAATGTAAAAATGAATGGACATCATGCCATGCTGTGCCACATCCGTGTTTGTATTCTTACACAGATATGGTTTTCTCTACAGATATGATTTTCTCTACAGATATGATAACCTTAATCTCTGAGACCTGGAAACACACAGCAAATTTATTTGGTGGAAGTAAAACCAGGAAGTTGCACAGAAGCATTGCTTAAAACATTGACATTTTCAACACGAGATTACATATTTCTCATGTCCTTTATCCCTGACACTTTAAACAGTCGTGCCTGTGCAAAAACTTACTCATTTTTCTCTAGTTGCATTTCAATATGTTTTCCTCCCACCGTCATTCCATACTTTATTGCCTGTGGTCTGAGGTACTGTGGAAAAATATATGTAAAATTGTGCTTTCAGGAAGTTTTCAATTTCCCCTCACCAACATCACAATCTGACAGAACATCACACAAATGTATCACAGAAAACAAAATAATGTTCCGTACCTCTGCTTGTCTTTTTCTGACAGTGTGAAGTCTGATGGGGCGAACCACCTCATAGTCCTTCACCTCCTCAAACCCATGGCTTCCATGGCTTTCTATTAAGATAAAACACACATTATACGACTTTGTAATATTGGTAAGAATTTGCTAATTTAATGGGGTGTACGATGAAGAGTTAGAGTTTCTCTGGTCTAACAGTTAACCGACTGCTTCCTATCACAGTTCAGGGGAAGAAGCATCTTGGTTATTTGCAGTCATGGTTAATAGAAGATTCATGTGCTATTGAGGTTAGCGAAAGATAGATGAGATAAGAAGAAACCATCAGCAACCATGTAGGAAACAGAAAAAAAACAGTGGTCTCCTTCACATCATGTGAATCCAACCACAACTACCTCCCTCGGCACCTCTTTTTGCACTATTTTGTATAGTTTTAACGTGTTTTTTTCATTTTTATTGTTATATTTTAATTCTTTTTTTACTAAATCCACCTTTCAGTGGTAGCTGCTGTAATTTCGCTATGCTTCATTGTGTAATGACATTAAAGGTATTCTATTCTATTCTATGTTAACCCAACCATTAACACAGGCTTCCTCTATGTGAGTTTGAAATGATAGCTCACTTTCAGTAGAGGTATTTGAATATGTATCTTGCCAATCTAGATAACACAGAAAGTGTTTTGTCCATGCCGTTACCAGTAGACACTTAATTTATATCTGGCTTTAAATACTGCTATGAAAGGAATAGTTGGACATTTTGGATGATTGAGAGATACAGTATATGTAAACATCGTTCTGCCCTGTACAGAAGGTTGTAGTGGATAACTCTATGGTATCAGACCACCTGATCCCACATCTGGTTGATCTGCCTTTTTAAATCAGAATACATACTGCCAAGTGGTTTGTTTACAGTGTTTCTGATTTTCATCTAGATTTTCCTTATTTTGTGATTTGTTTATCTTATAAGAAAACCAGGTTCCAAAAGTAGCACCCCACCATACTTATCAAATGTGTTAAAATCCTGGAGGAAATACTGTACAGACAACACACAGACACTGGAAAAAGGGCAACAGCTAGCTAGACTCAGTTTGAAGTTTATAAGAAAATCCACCCATCCGCATTTCTGACCATGATGAACATGTTGTATCTTGTTTGTCAGTACCTGCTCATGTCTTGTTTGTAATTCCTACTAACAAAGCATATACAACAAATGAGATTGGAAAACAACAACAAAGCATGTTTCGTAAAAATGTTGAGCTATTCCTTTGACATTTTGAATTTGAGAAAATAGAAAAGTAAGATGGAGTAAAATAAGCAAATAACTAAAGGTTTCTCTCTATTAGGCTACATGTGCATACTGGATGACCACACGTTGTAAAGCTGAGAGGCTCACCCAGTCCGTGGCCTGTGCTTGCTCATTGTGGGAACTGTTGGGTTTCTCTATGTTAATATTGTTTTAAGGTCTTGACCTTTAAATGTAAAGTGCCTTGAGATAATGTAAATTATGAATTGGCGCTATATAAATAAAATTGAAGTGAATTGAATTGAACTAGTTCAGGCAGCCAACTCCAGCTGCACTGCTCCGATCATGTGTCATACATCACGAGACATTCCTCACTCTCCACATCCTCTATAATACACACCCACCTTATCAGGTAGTCTATTTAAGCAGAGAAAATTTGCCATCACTCCCTTTGCTTGTCCCGCTGCTGCGTCAGTATTGCTGCCAGTTGCTTCAGCCCCTCCACCACCCCAGCATCCATCGGTAGTTTCCGACAGGGGGGTTACTAGTATTTGCTCATCACTCCCATCATATCTATGTAATCATATCAGGGGGAGTGATTAAGTCAGAGCCTAGATGCCAAACACCAACATGTTCTACTGTTGCAATAAACATTGCAGCAGATTAGAGATCACTTGAGGTCAGATTAGTTTAACGTTGTTCCCTGCATGTCGCCTGCTGTTTCAATGAACCTGTGCTGAAAGTCAGATTAAGTTGATTTCATTCAAATAGAACCAAATCAAAGAGGAACTTACCTCACAGCACTTTTCATATAGAGCAGGTCTGGACCCTATTCTTACAATAGTAGTAATAATAATTAAGGGATTTTCCTGCTTAACCCATCCATCTGTCACTTTCACACTCTCAGGTTTCTTTCTAAAATCTCTGTTTCTCTATTGCTATCCTGCCACCATGCATAGACCAGATGACAGATCTGTACTGTTGAAGATATTGATATTCATATGAGGTCAGAGCAACCAGTCTATAGGTCTATACATGGTGCTCTACACGGTTTGATTTGTCAGCAGCCTGAAGGGAATACCTGCAGACACTATCCACAAACCAAATATAAGGATATAAAGCACAGAGCTGGAACTCACAGACAAGACCACACTCTTAATGTGGAAAACCCAATTTAATCATGTTATGTGCAAGATGCTTTTAAATGTAACAGTAACAACATACTTATATTTTCTTGGATTAGATAAAGATCATTATTAGATTACCTGAAAACATGCAGAAGAAGTGAAAGCTGGTGGATTTATTTAAGATTACATAACATGATAATATATTATATTTATACATATATATATTATTTTTATACCTTTCACCTAAATCACCTAAAACTAAATCCATGCCCCTCTGACCAGGCTGTCTTTGCTAAGCAAGACCTTATATTTGTAACCTTTCATTCTTCTGTCTTATATTTGTCTGTTAATGAGTCAAACTGTCCCTCAGACAAAATAACGACTTCTCTTTTTGTGTTGTCTGCAGATTTCATAATACGTCTAACTAGATACACATCTAACTGAAACATCACTTTCTGCAGCATCGACTGTGCTGTAGTTTTCCAGATAAGGTTCTTGACATCCTGTACCTTTAGACCGGATATCGTCGCTTCGCAATGAAGGCATGGCCTAATCGAAGCTTGTACTTTCCAGTTTATGAAGGCAGCTTGAAAGGAAATGACTATGTCCTTCTGAGTCATGGTTACCAGGTGCACAGTGGCACCTGAGAGGGTGGTGGCAACACATGCATTATGGTAAACATTTCATTTGTAATCATGCACCAAATATATATACACACACACACACACACACACACACACACACACTCTCACACGCTGGGTCTGAGTATCTTACACAAACAAAGTTATTATCACTAAAGGATAACAGCAGACTGTAGGCTGTATGAGTGTAGAGAAGGGAAACACAGCCAAGCAGAAACAAATAGTATTTCATAAAAAGGTTGAAAGCAGCATGTGTAATGTTGAAAAGAACAATCCTATGCATTTAATCTGCGAGACATATACGCTGTGAGCAGTTCTGTGATGAACAACACATCTGATTTGCTATACAGGAACAGAAACACCAGTTAAAAACCTTTGAGCGAGGATAACCCCAGGCTTTAGTTATTAATTAGCCAATGAGCTGAGTAGAGGGAACAGTATCCAGTGACTTACCTGAGGGCTCGAGCGAGGCATTTAAGAGGAGGATCCACAATAGGAGAGTTGGTGTCATTGTCCGAGTGCAGACAGTCACTGTAACAGAGCGGATCGGTGCTGTGATCAGGCTTTATGCTGCCTACCTGCATGCAGCGTTTCTGTTGACACGCCTTTGCCAGCCCTCCTGCAGCTGTCACTGCTACTTCCTCATTGACAACAACTTTAAACCACACTCACAACCAGCCTGAGCAGGCCCCTGCTACTTTTGAGGAATGCAGGAAGAATACTTGTGAGGCTACATTGTTTTGTCTTACAGTCTTTCGGCATTTTCAAAAGTCATCTAGACAAAGACATAGATTTGGATTGGATTTTCTGACTCTCTTACCTTTGTGCTGGATGAAACTTCAGCCACTTTTTTGACTCATTGTGAGTTGTGGCTGACTGACTCACTGTCTGACTGTTAAGCCATATGGTAATTTCCACGTGCATCACCTTGTCACACTGTCGTCACTGCATCATAAAGTTTCACAATTTTTTACCAAATATAGAAACCAAAAAATGTAGCTCCATCCGCAGCACTTGTAACACTCCTTCCCTTCCCGTCTGTCCCTCACCCACTGAACACATGCTTAGAGTCACAGCTGAGACAAAGTGTCCGAAGACAATAAGGCCAATGTGCACGCTCCCTCTGCAGTGGACAGGGACAATTCAGGACACGGGGTCAGTGTGTGTGGTTCAGGAGGTGGAGCATGGTGGAGTTAAAGTAACACAGTTTCTTATCATTACTAAAGGAGAACATAGATTCTCCTCACAATCAGATTTGTGTCTTGGTGGCACTTCCAGTGTTAAAGCCACTGACACACAGGGAATACAAAGAAAATAGCAACACACACAGGATCGCAACAGCTTCTGAGGGAAAAGACACAATCGGTGAACACTCATCTCTGGTTACTATGTTAAAGATCTGCTTCTCTGCCTGGTGAAGAAGCGGCAGCACCCTTAGAAACACGTGAAATCATTCGTGTGCGGTAGAAATCTGTTGATTTCAGTTAAATCCCGCTGAAAAACGTACGTCTGTGCAGATGTTTGATGCTCATTCATTTCACGATGTTCCGTTCACATGAGGCCATGACCTGACGGAACAATTGCCTCACTGTGAGTGTGGTGACCACTCTGCTCCTGAGCCATGAAAACACAACCTCTGGTTTTCTGGTTTCAGACTGAACCTCAGACTGATATTATTTCTACACATTTTAAAACAACGCTCACATGCACATAAAAGAGGTGTTAGTTATTTTAATAATACTATTATTACTATAATTGCAGGTGGCTCAGGCTCGAGATGTAGAGAGAGTCATCTACTAACCAGGAGGCAGTGGAGGGAATACTAAAACATGAAGTGAAAGTAAAAATAAATAGATAGAAATAGAGTGTATCTTATTCCCTACCTACCAGCTCTGATTGGATCAGTGACCAAGACCAATTCCCCTCTTGATATTAATTCATTTTCAAAATATATAAAAACAATGTGAACATATAAGGTTATATTGCTGCGGCAGTGCTGTATGATTGTGTGTATGAGGAGCTTTGAATGGTTGATATCACTGGAAAAGCTCCATATAAATACAGTACATTAACCATTTACCATTCATTCACATGTTCATAAGTCATCGACTGGGGAATAGAACTGCAGGACATTATCAGAGCTTACTTTCCACTTCAAATGCTGTAGAACGCTCAATCAAACTCGGATATTTGGTGGAACAAAACGACTGAAACACAGCGTTTCCAAAAACATAATCAGAAGCTGAGAGGAGAAATCTATTTATTTTGTATATCATGTGGCTCTACCCAAATCACAACATACATTATCTGAAGGCATTTAACATGTTAATGTCAAGACCAAAATAGAGAAACCCAACCATTCCCACAATGAGTTAAGACTTTGGCAACTGTGGGGAAAAGAAAACTTCCTCATTTACTGGAAAAAAACCTACCACAGATTCAAACTCTCTCAGAGAGAAAGAGAGAGAGAGGGAGAGAGAGAGAGACATTTTTGTTGTGTGTCATTAAAGCAGTGCACATGTAAAAACATTACACAGAGTTGTTACAAAGAAAATCAACAGTACAATGGAATCAATGACCTAGTACTTGTCAGCTTCCCTATTCCACTTAAGCCCCAGCCCAATGGCTTTTACTGAAATTAAACATGAACACGAACATCAGGAATACAGAGTTTCATTGTTCAATGAAGTTTTAATTACTGGTGATCTATTTCAGCCGTGGATTCACACTCAACAGTGAGCTGTTACAACAGCAGGGTGGTTGGTGCATGTGTGGTTAATAAACTACAGTGCTCATAGTGACTGTAATAAAACAGCATCCAGTGCAGCACTCTGTTTTTAATCGTTTTTGAAGAACAGTGAAGCTGCCAGAGAAATAAGTAATATCAGGTTTTGTGTACACAGACAAAAAAAATTTTAAACTTCTTATTTGGTTTAGTCTTTCTTGACTAAGCATATAAGCATTATTTTAAGGATCAAGATTCCTCTTTATGGTCCCACACACAGCATGCAGCCATGGGGAAATTTGACCTCTGTATTTAACCCATCCGTGTGAACCTTTATATACAGTCTATGGTGTGAACACACGGAACACATTGGGCAGCCATGGGAGCAATTGGGGGTTCAGTGCCTTGCTCAAGGGCACCTTGGCAGTGCCCAGGAGGTGAACTGGCTACCAGTCCACCTTCCATACTTTTAGTCCATGCTGGACTTCAACCGGCCACCCTCCGGTTCCCAAGCCAAGTCTCTATGGCCTGAGCTACTGCCTCCCCTTAGATGAGATTTGTTTGTATTGGTTGTCTTCCTGGTTTGGGGCATTTATGTGTGTTTGTCTCTTCTCCGCATTGTTCCTATCTTTCTATACATGTGTGCTACTGGCAGGGTGTGTCCTCTGGTTTCCTCTGATCTACTTCTGCCTCTGCCGCTCATCAGGTAACCAGCTCTTGGCCTGCATGCAGTCAGATCACTGCCCCTTAGCCAGAACATTGTATCCCCCCATGGTATTCATTTTCTGACCGACTCTTGCTTGTCTTATTTTGAGTGCTTTGTCTTTTTGCACCTGTCTGCTTGTCTACTAACCCTGTCTTCTCCATCTGCCTGGATCATCCACTTATACTCACTCCTGTCACACTCAGTCAGCTCCTCAGCTACTACAAATACAGACCATTTACTACTTCCCTGGACTCTCTGGAAAATCCTGAGAACCCTTTCTAAGTCATTGTGCTCTATTGTTTGTTCACATTGTTTGCTGGAGATGAACTTTTCAGATTATTCCGACACCTAATGAATGCACAATTACTCCTGGACTCTCCCCTGGTTCGCACAAGCAGCCTCCTGAGAGGTCCTTTGAAGGAGGCGGCCCTGAAGCAGCTATAGACTGTATATAAAGATAGACCACATGTCTCTGCACTTCCTGAACACACTTTCTCTCTCATCTTGCATTGGTGACGTCAGCGACATCGAGATCCCGCTGACATCCACCCGACCAATCGCAGACAGAAGCCATATGAAGAATTGTATTTGATGTGTTTTAAATGTTTGTCCCATGTCTCACCATAGATAGTTTATGACCTATTCCACCGTTAACCACAGGGGAGATTTTGCCTTCCCTATTGTCGTCCATCATGAACTACAGTACATACTTTCTGAGCAGCTGAAAAATCCTACTGGATGTGTGACCTGTTAGTGTGAAAAGTGTGAAGAAGTGCATGCACATGTGATCACAACTTGATCTGAACTACATTATTTGGGTGTGGGTGTTAAGCTTCACACTGTGGCTGCAAATACAGAAATAAACAGTTGTGCTGTGTTTTCTAATAATAATAATAATAATGGCTTGAATTGATATAGTGCCTATCACAGGACCCAAGGATGCTTTACACAAGTTTGTGAGGACAAGACCGAAGAGAAAAGAAAAAAGTAATAATACAAAACAGGATTGAATTTAGCAGCAGGGTGGAGCATTAACTGAGGCCAAAGGCTTTATATTGAAGAGGTGGTGCTTGAGGAGTTTTTGAAGATTTCGACAGATTTTCTGTCTCTTGAATCCTTCCCTCCTTTTCAATTCAGTTACTCTCTGCTGCCCCTTGTGGTACGTCAGAGGTCCTCCACACTCTTTGAGTTTCTATGAGATGTATTTTTTTTTACGTCGTCTAATGTTTATTCCTACATGAAGCTAGTTTGGTATTTTAGATTGATTGTCCATTTCACAGAAATAGCCAAATGCAGCCTTGAGTGTCCCATGTGACTGACACTAGGATAAACTGTGCCTGATATTAGTGAGTGTTCTGTGCTGGGAATGAGAAAGTGAATTTCTGATGTTCATTTAAGGTGTTAATGTGTAATCAATGTTTCATTAGACTTTCTGCTTGAATTCATGGAGATAAAGTTCCTTGATTAGTAATCTTGTTCTGTTAATGATTAAAAATATTAAAGCCACAAAAAACAATCTGAACGTCACACATGACTGAGATTTCCTGAAATGTCATTGAAATGTCTACTTGTAAAAACAGTTAGACTTTAAATGATCATATTACAACAAGACCTCTCATGATGAGCCTTTTTTCCCTTTTGACCATATTATTTTAGTAATTGAATGATTATAATTTACTTTCATTTTTAATAATGAATGACCTCTTAATATGCAATATGGCACACATCAATAATCATTAACCAGTCAAACATTCCACAGGAGGCAGGTGGTTGGATTTGAAAAATTCAGAAACCTGAGCTGCAACACAAAGGAGGACACACAAGCTGGTCAAACCAACACTGCACTAATAAAGAGCAAAGTACAAGTCATCACCAAACTGAGACTGTGGCATTAACTGCAAATTACACAAATGAGGCCCGAGAGGATTTTTATTTTCATTAATTATGAAAGACATTTGAATTAAAGATAAGGTAACCTTGATAATTTGTGTGTTTTATCTAGAAATAGTGTAGGTAAAAAAACAAAAACAAAAATAATTCGTAGATTTACAATTAATATGTAAAATATAATCAACTTTATTCAACAAAATATGATCATATATATGATTCTATTTAAAATGTACTTGTAGGCTACATTTGGTTTAAGTTTATTGTGGTTTTACTTTGGTTGTACTTCTTCAAACTAAAGTGAGAGACCTATCACCACTGTCTGTTCTCAAGGGTGAGCAGAAAAGAAAAGCTACAGGGGCAGCCATCGTACACACACACACACACACACACACACACACACACACAATGACTTTCCATAGATGTCAACTTTATATGTTAGTAACATGTGTATTTG